GCACTCTCTTCCCTTACCCTTCTGTGTCCGTTGTCCAAAGAGAATCTAGAAGACCGAAGGTGGGAGCGGGTGCAGGTAACTGGCACGGCGAAATCCAGACCTACTTGTACCACCACGCATCCTGATCCACAAAAAACACTTGACCAGGATTTTAACAAGAGTAAAGTCGGGGCACTGGCTTGGAACCCAGATCACACAGCGTTGACCAGCGTGTTATTTCACCCTTGCTCATAGCCTACACTTTAAGGGCGCGTAGTTTAACCAGCATCTTTATAATCTTACACTGTGTAAAACCGGCTGATGACGGCTAAGCCGGAAATTTCCATTCCGGTCACGCTTTGCTTTGTGGGATCCATTTCATATAATATTTATTTTTAAATTACTCCCTGTTTATTTTTATTAAGCACCTCCTGGGGTGCGATCTGGAGCCGCTTTTTCTCTGATGATGGGAAGATTATTGCTGTTAGCATTGGCTGGAATATGAGGCTTGGGGGGTTAGTACTGAGCAAAGGTTAAGTCGCAACTAATTCGGTTACTAAAGTTTGTATGCACTTCCGTGAAGGTAACAACAGTTCGACTAAATTTAGCTTACCTTTGGTCTTCTTCGATTGCATCTGCAGTTATGCAGTCAAAGATATATATTGGCATGCTTTCTAACCTTCGAAATTATGGACAGCGCCTGAGATTGTTTTAACCAACACGAGCTGCTAACCGGGTGTTGTTCATTTCCCTTCCTTCCAGCTGTCCCGAATGGGTGCCTAGTGTTGGCGGCCGGTGTCCGTGCCTTCCACGCACTATCATCGACGTCACTGTCGTTGATCTGGATCCAAAGAACCTCACCAACCTGGCTGAACGTTCTGAGATGGAGCGCAGCGTCGTGGCCCAATACTTGCAGGCCATGGGCTCCCAACGGACAGAGACCCCGCATCTGTAGACTCCGCCGCGGCCGCCAACTCTGCATGCACTTTTCAATTCTACCCAGCCTTTCGTAACTCTTCTCCCCCCCCCCTCCCCCGAAAGCTTCTACACAGTATTACTACCCTGAGGGACGGGGGGATGAGGAAGGACAAGACGTTATTGTCGTCTTCGAGCTGTAGCTTCACCCCCTGCTCAAAATAGACAAGCATAATTGCTGCTGCTAGCCTAACTTTCTCCTCTGCCCATCTGGTTTCCTGCCTTCTTTGAGACGGAACGCTTTTCTGTCACCCTACTTGCTCTTTGCTTGTTCATTTGGTTGGCTTTTACCTGGGCGCTTTCGCCCATCCGCACGTCCGATGGTTGACTGCTTCTGCATAGCCCCCTCTATCATGCCTATGCGCAGCGAAGTCAAGGAGATTGCTTTCTTTTTGTTTACCCTATTTTTGTTTATTGTATTTTATTTAGGAATAAACCAGGCCATCTTCTGGGCTGGATTTGATAATCTTCGCGTCTGTCGTGTGCGCGTTCTCTTTCCCATTTTGTATTTTGGGATCCTAGCCTTTATATCCACACTGCTAGAGACAGAAATCAAAGAAAAAACATCTATTTTAGCCTTAATGGTGTTATTTCTACTGTAACAGGTGGTGTGCTTTTTGTCGTCACTGGTGGACTTCCACTCGGAACCGAGGTGCTCCTTGTCTTGTAGCCGTTTCTGACTTTAAAAGTTTTTTAAGCATGTGAGGACACCGACGACCTTTGATAGACCTTCCGGTGTGATCGCTGACGCCCAGGCACACTATGTTTTTGATCACTTGGTTACTTTGTTGGCTAGAAAATAGTAACTACGCTTGGCTGTTCTAACTGGATGCCCAGAAGGTGGGACCTATCCAACAGCGGGTTTGTTTCAAAACGTTGAAAATAACGATCAGGAAAGTGTGCGCAATTTCAAATTGCAAAGCTGCTGCCGTAACTGTTTCATGCAAGGGGGGACGGACTGACCCCGGACCGATGGTTGTCGGGCCAGATCCTCGTAGTTAAGGTCGCTTTTCTTTGGAAGTTTAAGCGTTTTAGACAGTGGTTGCGTGACTGCTCCAGCCCTTGCACCTGGAATACGTCGGCAATAGTACACTTTAAACAAACTCGTCTCCTAACCTGCCGAAAGGCAACTGTTGCATGCTGGAACGCTCCTTAAACCAGACCACACCGTTGCCGAGTGAACGCTGCCGTACACGTTAAAAGTC